AGGGGCTAATATAATCAATGTCAGCATTGACGGTTAGCTGAATCACAGAATGAATAATCAATTATGAGTTTTTACTAATAGGTTTAGAAGGATTTTAAGACATATTGGGAGCTTTGTCCCACGAAACTTGATAAACTCCCTATTTTACTATGACTGAAATGAGTTAAAATTTTCTTTTTCTTTGTTGGGTGAACAATCTGGGAGCAAGTTTGGGGCTTTTAAGTCTTCAAACTCTCCTTAAAGACTTTTGTTAACCAAACAAGGGCCTCATAATAAAATATAGTCTGCAACAAATAGAATGCTTCTTTTGCCCTTGTCTGAAGTCCTTAAGAATTTGCTAGGTAGGAGCTGTTAAGCCTTTTGTGTCAAAGTCCCTTTCAGGAACTGATAGAGAAATAACAGAATCCTTGATACTTCAGGTTAAAAAAAAAATCTTTCTACCCAAGAGAAGGGTTATGAATCATCTGCCAGAGGTCAGGAATGCTGAGGGTGATTTATTCGGTTCTTTCCTTGGCAGTGGAGCCTCTGATGGGGAAAATGTTTAATGTTTAGGAAGCATGGCTGTTAGTGATCTCCTACCATTCCAGTTCAGGATTTCACCATCATATACGATAATGACATTACCAGTAGCATTATCAATATTATAATTGATAATAAAGCTGGGAAAAAATGAGTGGCTGTGTAGCTGACACTGATATGCATAGTAATGCCTTTACTCCTCATATTGCCCCTATGAGGAAGGTAAAATTAATCTCATTTGGTGGGTATGGGACTGAGGTAGACAGGTGAAATCATTTGCCCAAGAGTAGATAGCTTGTAAGCAGCAGAGTTGAGTTGCAAGACTTGGTAGACTGGCTCTCCTACTCTATATTGCTTTTTCTAGTTTCTAATTAGTACCGTTGAGATGCTGGATTTGGACAAGAATAAGAATCTTTTTTTTTTTTTTTTATTTTTCTATATTGCTTTTTCTAGTTTCTAATTAGTACCGTTGAGATGCTGGATTTGGACAAGAATAGGAATCTTTTTTTTTTTAAATTTTTTTTTTTATTTTATTTATTTATTTTTTTAAAGATGACCGGTAAGGGGATCTCAACCCTTGGCTTGGTGTTCTCAGCACCATGCTCAGCCGGTGAGCAAACCGGCCATCCCTATATAGGATCCGAACCCGTGGCCTTGGTGTTATCGGCACCGCACTCTACCGAGTGAGCCACGGGCCGGCCTAAGAATAGGAATCTTTATGGGATAGTAGATTAAACAAATCTTCAAAGTAAGCTGAATTCTTTCCTTTCCTTGTTGCTATTATATTTTGTTGGTTTAAAAGCCATTGAACTTTTCCCAGTTTTCTGGAGAATTTGGTAATTAATTTTTCAGTTATGTTTTAATACTTGTAATTAATGTTACAGTAGTAATGACTTTTTCATATCTACTATTTGCCAACTGTTACAGATTTAAGGTATATTAATTTTCACCACAACAGTCTGGCCAGATATCCTGATTTTACAAATGTGTAGATTACTAGACCACAGAAATATCCCTGTTTTTATATTTACTAGTATTTCAATGATGATTATTTACCATCTAGCAAAAGTAATTTTCTTCTCTGTTCTACCCTTTAGCTGCTTCCTACCACATTCCTTTTTTTTTGATTTTGGCAGAATGGTAAACAATAGTCTCTGTGGTTGGGTCAGCTGCCTTAATCTATCTTTTCGTCTCCACTGCTTGGCACAATAGCTTGTGTATAATTGTGATATTTCTGCACTGGTGGTTATGTAAAGTATTACATTGGGCTTCCCCAAAATCCATTTTGCACACAAAAGTGTTAAAATGTGCCAAAAGTTGCTGTCGGGACATTTACTTGATTTCTTAAACTCCAAACAGTCCAGTTTCCAAATGCTTAGCTGCATGGGTGAATAACAGTATTTTACTGAAGAGAGTTCAAAATTCTGAGTGAGACTTTATGAATATTTTGGTAAGCGCTCACTCTTAGTTATCTAAGGAGGAGGTGGGGAATAGGGGCCATATAATATTATCTGATGGTATATGGATACATGGAATGCCTGATATTGCAAGCTTTAGAATAGAACTAACAAAGTTGCCTATTTCTTCTAATTCTAAGTCTAACATCTTTCTTCTCTTTTTTGTGTTTTGTTTTGTTTTGGTGGCTGGCCAGTATGGGGATCCAAACCCTTGATGTTGGTGTCATAACACGAGCTCTACCCAACTGAGCTAACAGACCAGCCCCTCTTTCCTCTCTTTTTCTCTTGAGCTTATGAAATAAGTTAGGTCCCTCATCACTGTAGTAATTTAGGGAGAAAAGGAAATGAAAGTAAGTTTTTTTCTACCACTTTATTTCCTCTTTTCTGAAATTGTTTGACTATAAAGTTGCATAGTTGGAATTGTGTGTTACCCATTTCATAACCTGTGATTACAGATAATAGTAAAAATTTTTCTGGGTAATCTTTCCATTTTGAACATGAGGTACTAAGAATGAGAGCCAAGGGAGAAGTGAGAATTTAAGGCATTCCCTGCTCCCTTCCCATCGGGTGCTCTGAATACTTGTGGGTCAGTCACCAATATTAAAAATATTCTAAGGGCCAGCCCTTGGCTCATTTGGGAGAGTGTGGTGCTGAGAACACCAAGGCCACAGGTTCGGATCCCTATATAGGGATGGCTGGTTGGCTCACTTGGGGGAGTGTGGTGCCGACAACACCAAAGTCAAGGGTCGAGTTCCCCTTACCGGTCATCTTTAAAAAAAAAACAAAAACAGAAAAAATTGTATGAATGACCCGTACATTACAGTTCCAGTTTTCTCACTTTTTCGTATGATTGGTTCTAGGGAATCCTGTCATGGCAGTGGGGGGTCTTGGGGTTCCTTGAGAGGCACTGATTCTGATTGCTTTTTGATGATTTCTACCTAGCTCCTTTGGTATGTGACAGTGGCTTAGAAGAGCAACTACTAATAATTTTAATCCAGTAAATACTTGTTGAACTAATATTTTGTTTTAGGTACATATTATTTTATAGGTGATTTGCATAGATCAAAGATAAATCAATATAGTTAAAAATTTAGAGCAGAAAATTGTTTACAGTTTGTTGATGGGAACAGACTTGCGGAGGATGAATGAAGTGGCAAAATGGACTCATGCTTATGGAGATCTGGGAAGATTCTTTGCTCTAATTCAGAGCAACTCAGACTCAGAATATTGAAGTTGAAAGAAAGACATCTTCCATCTTTATTTAGCTTTAAACAAGACGATAAAGAACCCTGAATATTCTCCCTCCACTAACTTCTCAAGCAGTACAAACCTTTAACTTCATTTTGTATTTACATTTAACAGTGTAAACATAGTATCTCTCTGAGGACAGACTCTTTTTGATGTTTTGGGAAACTATAAATAATGCTGGTTCTTAATGAATAATGAGGACACGACACTTCTTCATCATCTGTAGAAAGTGAAGGAGAGACACTTTTGGTAACCTAGATTGTAGAGATTCTATAGATTCCCTGTTTGGGTGGTCGACTCTCAACTGCCCCTGCTGGGGCTTTGACCAGGATTGATCCAAACTATAGGGTCACCCTAGCTGATTGTGGGAAATGATGTTAAAGATTTGTATTTCTTGAGAAGTTAGCGAAGAGAGAATATTCAGGACTCTTTATCGTCTTGCTTAAAGCTACATAAAAATGGACAATGTCTTCCTTTCAATTGCAATATTCTGAGGCCATGAGTTGCTCAGAATTAGAGCAAAGGATAATTCGTAGGCCTCCATGAGTATGGATATGCTTGGCCTAATTCCCGTTCTTCAGAATCATGATTCTTAATATTCTTGATGATCCCATGCTTGGGAGTGCTTTTCTTATGAGAACTTTCAGGAAGACATTGTATACAGGTGATGCGGAAAGCTTGTTTTAATAGTGCTGGTGTCCTCTTAAGGCAGAGCTTTGAAAGCAGAGAGTGGTCAGATTGGAGAGATCACTCCCCTCAGTCCTTGGAGCAGCTAAGTGGGGCCTGGGGCTTCTGAACTGCCCAAACCACCTCTGGGCCAGCTGTGATGCTCATTTTCCCAGTGTGTTTAACAAATGTTTTCGTTTTCTATATAAGCCATTATATGAAAAAAGTTAGGCGGTATTGTCTTGAGGGGTAGAGCAGAGCTTTGGAAATGTGATGAGGACAAATACTGTTTTTCTTATCAATTAGGGTTTTTAGTTGCAAACAATAGAAATTTACTCTAGCTAATTTAACCTGTTTATCTGGGTAATCTTTCCATTTTTAGAATGAGTTATTAAGAATGAGAGCTAAGGGAGAAATGCCTAGTTTTTTGGTTTGTTTAAATGTGAGTGCAGTGCCGAAAAGAATTTCTTTCTCCCTCTCTATATTAAGTACAGATATTTATTTCCAAGAAAAGAGTTTGAGTAAGTTTTAATTATAGTAATACATTTTATCATTTGCTTGCAAAGTTTGACTACTGCCCCCTCAAATTGGTCATTTGAAGAAAGGGTCAATTTTGGTATTTTTCTTTGGATAGTTTTCACAAGAGTTCTTTGTTCCTTCATTTTCCTGCATTTGATCTTAGTCTTTTATCAGTTTTTCTTTATATGGAGATCATAAATGATGTACCAGCTGGTTTTAAACACACACCACATGATAGGTGGTGCTCAGCTCTCAGTTTGGAGAGTTTGTGGGGATTGAACTCATTCAAATTTATGATTGCAGAGGTCCTTAACTTTAACTTATCTTTTCTGCAGACACTTTGCCATGTAATGTAACATTCATAGGTCCCTAGGGATTAGAATCTGGTATCTTTGGGGGCCACCATTCAGGCCACTACAGTCTGCTTTCTGGCCAAGTATTCATGTCCATCCCATGTACAAAATACATTCTCCTACCCCAACATCCCCAAAGTTTTAACTCATTATGGCATCAAGTCTATAATCTAAATTTACCTAAATATTCTTATCTCAGAAGTCCTAAATCTCATCATCAAAATAATGTAAATCAGGTATGGGTGAGACTCTTAAGTATTATCCATTCTGGCACAAAATCCCTCTCTGTTTGTGGACCTAGAAACTTGAAGACACATTATCTGCTTCCAAAATAGTGGTAGGACAGGTGCTGGATAACACTTATAGACATCTCTGTTCAAAAAAGGAAAAGATGGAAGGAAGGAGTCAGCAATCCCAAGCAATTTCAGAATCCAGCATGGCAAATTGCATTAGGTTTCAAGGCCCAGGAATAATCCTCTGTCTTGAGATATTTCCTAAAGACAGATTCCCAAGAAATAAAAACATATTTATCTTTAAAATTTTATTTTAAAGTTTTCCTTTTGGTAATATGCAGGTTTTTTTTTTTTTTTTTAATACAGTCAAATCTGACATTTTTCTTAGAATGCCTTTTGTGTGAGTAGTTCAAATATCCTTCCTACACTTGCTGTCAGATAAAAATGGTTTTAAAACAAATGTTTGGCATCTCATAGGGCAAATTATATGGAAAATTCATGTGTCCTATCCTTATTTCTGAAAATGGATGTGTCTGGCCTTCCTGGGAATTCACATTGTCCTGTAGAAAGGCCCATCCCGGAAAGCTGATCTAGGAACCATGTGGAGAAGCCCTATGCTCTGTCCTTGCAGTCCTCTCCAACTAGTGAGGCTCGCTCAGAATTTCAAATCTCACTTCTACAGTTTGAGCCCTCTAGTAAATCTGAAGCCACTGAGGTGGGAAAGTGTTTGGATTGCAGAGATATTTTTTGAGTAGATTGATACATGTGTAGTAAACTGTGGTGAGTGAGTGAGTGCAGGAAAAAGCATCCTTAATATGAACATTAAACCAAGATTTGCTGTAAGTGCTTAAAAATCCAACACTGTAACAAAGTATTGATATAAATTCTAAAGAAATGGTTCTGTAAGATTTATTGATATAGAAAGAAATGTGGTCAGGAGTAAAGCATGTTAGAAAACAGTATCGTGATCTGATTTCAGTTGTAGGGGGAAAAATACATGTCTGTATCTATGTATAGAAAAAGTCTCCAATAGAAAGGAAACAATGATTATTTTGGGGTAATTGGGTTGATAAGTGCATATAAATTTTTTTATAAACTGTGTATATTATATAAATGTATATATAAAATTTATATGTATTTTTGTTTATCTTTTTGTAATTCTTTCCGAATTTTCTGGCTTTTGTGTAATGTTTTACTTGTGTAGTAAAAAATGTTGGTACCTCCCCCCTTCCCACCCCAAAGAAACTGCTTGAAGGAAGTAATTATTTGTAATATCTGTGTTATTAACTTGAAATTGACTATACCATAATATTTTTAGCTCATTATGGTTGCAGAATGCTTCAGATTCTTCAGTCAGTTGTTTATATTGAACTTGAGGGAAAATGATTTTTATCAAACTGAAGGCATTAAAGTATACTTGTGAGGTGGTAATATTTTAGAATTTTTCAGTATATCTGCTGAGGTAAATGGGTTATAGTAGTATTTTCATTTGCAGAAATGTTAAGACCTCTGAACAATGTAAATTGAGGCACTGAATGAACATCTGTCACCTGTATTGCAGCATAGTGAGTGATTTGTGGTTAGTAACAACTTTACGTAATTTTTATTTACTTTTTATATTCTGGGAAATTCTTTGTTGCCTTTCAAAATATTATCCTATGTTAACTATTTGTTAAAGTAAGTTTTCCTGCCTTTTGGTGAGAATTTCTTATGCCCTCAGAATAGTACCTGTTTCATAGTACTTGAAACTTTTACTTTTTATTTGTTATTTCTCAGGTAAACGCAAAGCACTGAAGTTGAATTTTGCAAATCCACCTTTCAAATCTACAGCAAGGTTTACTCTGAATCCCAATCCTACAGGAGTTCAAAACCCACACATGTGAGTATTCTTGGTAATGAAAGACTCAACTCAAGCAAAGGTTTTAAAGTTACTGTGTTTTATGAATTTTTCCAAGCCAGGGGTTTGGTATTTCCATTATCTTATGGACCATTTGAAATATTACTATTTGAACTTAAATAGAAAGCTATTGATTCTGGGGCTGGCCCCATGGCTCACTCGGGTGAGTGCGGTTCTGTTAGCGCCAAGGCCGCAGGTTCGGATCCTATATAGGGATGGCCGGTGCACTCACTGGCTGAGTGTGGTGCAGACAACACCAAGCTGAGGGTTGCGATCCCCTTACCGGTCAAAAAAAAAAAAGAAAGCTATTGATTCTTTAATAAGTAGGTAAATACAATTTTCCTTTTTAAATTTTATTTGGAGGAGAAAAAAAGCTGAAGATCCAGATGCATTTATATCTTTTTAATTTCTTACTAAACTCTTTGAGACTTTTAATTTCTTACTAAACTCTATTGTTCATCCCTTTTCTTCTGGATTTCCAATTAAATTGCAAGTGTATTTAGGAAATCTAATAGTCCTCCGTTGATTTGTACAAATCCTCATCACTTATTTGGTGACAAAATAGATTCTCATTGTTAATAAGCTAAATTCCTGTAAGATTTTCATGTCATAGTAAATTAAAAGGATTGTATACATGTCAGTATATGTACTTCAGTGATTATTTTTATTCACTGAATATTCTTATTAAAAAATAGAAATGATATTATAGCATCTCACTGAAAATATTATTAGAAACATGTTAGTTAATTTAAAATAATACCCTCAGAATAATCTTTTATATAGACTTTCAGTTGAGTGTAAGTGATGTGATATATTAGCTTATAATCTCTTCTTCTCCCAGTAAACTTATCATGAACATGAAGGCCAGTGACTTTACATTTATACCTATGTTCATAAAAATAATTTCCAGTTAGTCCGAGAATTGAGAACTGTGAAGCAAGTGATATGTTATGGTTTAAAAAACTGGCAGAATACATTATTTTATGTTTTTTAGTAATTCCTCAGCAGTTTGTATTCAAACTTGATTAGACTTCAAATATATTCTTCCCAAAGAGGCAGATTTATTGCTGTTTTCTTTTAAAGTTTGGTATGCATTTTATTTTCAAACTGTAACAAATTCGTAGAAAGTATAGTGTCTTGTAATAGCGATGCTTAAAATATTTTGTTATTTTTAAAATGGCAGTGTCTAGAAGGGAAGGTTGTATATGTGTGTGTGTATATACTCTTAAGCTTTCACCTATAACCTTAGAGGACAGGGAAGATATTTTAAATGAAAACTGGAGTAACAGTTTACTTGCCCAGGAATGCTCTCTATCAGTTTTATTAGACCAGTGTTCATAACTAGATTTCTTGTCAGAGCTCAGCAGCCTTTTTATATCATCTTTTCTAAAACATCATGAGGGGATATATTGAGGAAGGAAACTTAGTACTTCTTAATTAGTCAGAACTCCAGAAGCAAGAAAACACTCTTAAAAGAATCTCCTTCCTCACTTCCTAGAATTTCTAGTGAGAGCTAGTACAAAACTAATTTTTTTTTTTTTTGTTCATAACTAGATTTCTTGTCAGAGCTCAGCAGCCTTTTTATATCATCTTTTCTAAAACATCATGAGGGGATATATTGAGGAAGGAAACTTAGTACTTCTTAATTAGTCAGAACTCCAGAAGCAAGAAAACACTCTTAAAAGAATCTCCTTCCTCACTTCCTAGAATTTCTAGTGAGAGCTAGTACAAAACTAATTTTTGAACGTAGTGTATTTCTGTTACCTTGGTTATGAGCTGAACCACATGTTTGAAGTTTAAAAAAGAAAGGATATAGTAGTAGTAACCAAACTAATCAGATCTTTATTTTTTTAAAGCTTTTTGGACAAAGAGAAAAACAACTTAAATTTAGAACTGGAAAAGCATTCACATATCCATACCGTCTTCCCTCAGGAGTTTCTTCATCTATGGGGAATTTATAGACAAAATCTTTTTTATTCTTTTTTGAAAAATGGTAAAAATAGGGTGAAAAAAAAGCTTTCTTCCAACAGTTGAATCAATTGTTTTTTTTGTTTTGAACTAGTGTTTTATAATCATCCTATAATCAGCTAAGTTTCTCATCTTTTGTCTCTTCTAGTAAGTGCTAAAAGTTTGAGAGGACGTGGTAATAGGCATTTTTACCTTATGGTAGAATCTTTAGAACTTGATTCTGGTATGTAAAAATTCCAGATTTTGTTGCAATTTTATTATTACACAGGCCTGTTGATCTGGATCAGGAGTAGACAACTACTGGCATTGATACTGATCGAAGATAATTGTTTCATTACTTAGGACAGCGTTATCTCCTCTACTTCCCCAGCCCCTTCCATAAGGTATCCTTTTGTACTCTTTGAGTTGTATACCATCAGGTGCTAAAAACCTGTTGGTTCCTGTTTAGGATAAGGACTTTGCAATTAGAAAACATAACTTGCAGTTTGTGAGAGCTTTGAAATAAGATATCTCTTGCCATTTATGTTTTTTTTCCGCCAATTTTCTTGAACTTTAGTTATGGATATAAATCTAAAACTTGTTCATGAATTTAGGAAAAGATTAGATGAAATAAGCAACTGACGAAGTTAAGATATGTCCTGGGAATTATTTTAGATCCACCTGGCATTTGATGTCTCCTGAGTACAACATCCTTTGGAAGATTTTTAAAAAAGATAAGAAAACATTTTTATTTTCTGAGAACTGATAGTTCAAATGAAGTTCCAAGAAATTATAGTTGGCTACAGCAATTCAAGAAGTAAGGCACGAGGTAATACAGACAGAATGTCAAATGAAAGGGGCGGGAGGGGGTAAGGTCACTTCAAACTGCTTGGTGGAAGGTTTTACAGAGGAGCAAGATTTAAATTGGATTTTGATAGACAGGTAGGCAAGGGCAGATGGAGAGAAGAGAATGGCATTCTGGTGAGCCTAAGTACAAAAGATAAGTTTTGGGAACCATGTGTATATCTGTTTAATTACAGCAGAGATGTTACTTAAAGATTACGTATTTCTATCTCATTTGAAGCTTTTAACATTTATTCTTTATTCTTGGTGTTCTATAATTATAAGAGGTATGCTTAGGTTTGGATCATCTTTCTCTGTACCAGATGAACCCTTTTAGTTTAAAGATTCATGTATGTCTGTTTCTGAGAAAATTTTTGCTGCTTTCCTTTTGGAAAGCATGTATTCTTTCATGTTTTTTCTATCTTTCCCTGAAACTTGTGCTACTTGGATTTTGGACCACCTGTGTCTTTGGCTTTTCTGTTATATTTTCCATCTCTTGTTTTCTTGCTGTATATTCTGGGAGATTTCCTTTATTTTCTGACCCCTCTATGGAATATTCTATTTTGGGAATTCCAAGGGTTGAGTGTGGCTTTATCTTAGTATTTCATTTTTAATTTATGGGTTCAAAATAGGAATTAAAAAAATTTTTTTTGTCTTCTGGATTATCTGTTTCCTCGAGGATCAGTTTTTGTTAATCTTTGTCTTCTTTATGTTAGTTTTTTTCCACATCTTGTAATTTTTGATTGTTCATTAATTTTCCATTAATTGGAAGCTCTGGTTATGGGTCATTATTTGGTGGGCGTGGCTTTACTTTTCTGTGAGCGGTTTGAGAGCTGGCTGTTAGGGCAAGAATATTTCAAATGTCAGAATCAGTAGGGCTATCATTCACCCCAGGAGGACTCGTTCTCTCCAAGTATGTTTCTTTTCTTTAGAGACATACTCTCTTTTTATTTTGGGGGGGAGGTCAGAGAGGAAAGGTGGAATCAAATAGCCCTTTATTATAAAAAGAATTTTAATTAATTCTGTTTCGAGGCCTTCATTCCTTCTAACTGGATCCTCTTTGATCCAGGTTTCTGCTGGGACCATGATTCGTCTCTCATATTTGCTGCATGCCCACATCTTACCATGTGTTATGGGTTATAGTTTTCTCTATTACTGTTTTTTTTTAAAACCTTTTATTATGGAAAATTGCAAACATATCCAAAACTAGTGGTAAATGAATAATATGTCTGTACTCTGTGCTTATCAATCAGCTTTAAACAGCGTCAAGAGTTAAGTGTGGCCAATGTTGTTTTTATCTGTTCCTCCACAAACCTCAGACATTATTTCATTTATAAATATTTCAGTATGTCTAGAAGATAGGGACTCCTTTTAAAAAACATAATCACAGTACCATTATTAGATCTAGTAGAATAAATGTTTCTTTAATGTCATCAAACAAGCAGATTACTTCATCATTTTTTTTTTTTTTAACAGTTTGAAGCAGGATGTAAACAAGGTCCTGCACAATATGCAGTTGACTGATTAGTCTTTTAAACTAGAGTCCCTTCTCTTGGAATTGATTAGTTTTTCTTTGTTTATACATTTTTGTTGACTTTCAGTTATTCAGAAATTTGTTTAAATCTCTCAGTTTTTTCATTGGTCCTTTCCTTTAAAAAAAAAAAAAAGTTTTTCTTTGTTTATACATTTTTGTTGACTTTCAGTTATTCAGAAATTTGTTTAAATCTCTGTTTTTTCATTGGTCCTTTCCTTTAAAAAAAAAAATATATATATATATATATATTTTTTTTTTCATTTGACTCCTTAGAAGGTGAAGAGACAACCTGAACAGGAAACCTGGTTTTTAATTATCATTGGTTAAAGTTATAAATATTTCTAAAACATTGAAAATAAGTATTATAATAGAGATTCTTGTTATCTACTACCTAGATTTAACAGATGCTAACATTCTGTCCTTTGCTTCTTAAAATGAAAGGGTTAAGCTGTTTACTACAAAGGAAGATCAAAGAAAAAATGTGTTGCTGCCTTTTAAGTTTCTTTCAGGTAGGGATTACACTGGGCACTATAAGTCTTTTTGATATCCTGGGGTATTCTTATAAATGTGGCAGGGCTTCTTGCTGAAATCATGTTCTGCATATACATTTGACAAACAGAAGTAGATATTCTACTATTATATTCTATGTTTTCATCAT